TGTCATCGAAATCGTCGCCGTCGTCGTCGTTGCTGTCGTTGTCGTCGCTTCATGGTTATGGTCATCGCCGCCGCTGACGTGGTCTTCGTCGTCGTGGTCGTGGTCGTTGACGTCATGGTCGTCGTCGTGGTCGTCGTCGTCGTCGTCGTCCTTGTCGTCGTCCTTGTCGTCGTCCTTGTCGTCGTCCTTGTCGTCGTCGTCGTGGTCGTCGTCGTGGTCGTCGTTGTCGTTGTCGTCGTTGTTGTCGTGGTCGTCGTCGTTGTCGCCGCCGTCGTCGTCGTCGTCGATGTCGTCGCAGTCGACGTGGTCGTCGTCGTCGTGGTCGTCGTGGTCGTCGACGTGGTCGTGGTCGGCGTCGTTGTCTTCTTGGTCGTCGTGGTCGTCGTCGCCGTCGTGGTCGTCGTTGTCGCCGTCGTCGTGGTCGTCGCCGTCGTCGTGGTCGTCGTCGTCGTGGTCGTCGTGGTCGTCGCCGTCGTCGTCGTCGTAGTCGTAGTCGTGGTCGTCGTGGTCGCGGTTGTCGTTGTTTGTGGGGTCGTCGTCGCCGTCGTCGTCGTCGGCGCCGCTGCCATCGTCGTCGTCGTCGTCATCGTCGTCGTCGTCGTCGGTGTCGTCGTGGTCGTCGTCGTCGTCGTGGTCGTCGTCGCCGCCGCCGCCGCAGTCGTCGTTGTCGTGGTCGTCGCGGTCACCATGGTCGTCGTCGTCGTCGTCGTTGTGGTCGTCGTCTTTGGTCGTCGTCACCGTCGTTGTGCAGCCGCCGTCGTCGTCGTCGTCGCCCGTCGTTTCCGTTGTCGTCGTCGTCGCCGCCGCCGCCGTCGTCGTCGTCGTGGTCGTCGCTGTCGTCCTTTCGTCGTCGTCCTTGCCGTCGTCGTTGGCGTGGTCGCCGCCCCTGCAGGGCGTCGGCTCGCCGGCCGCCCGCCGTGGCGGCGGGCGCCCTCCGCAGAGCCCGCGCTCCGAGGGCGGGGCCTCGGGGCGCCGCGGCCGCGGCGCGCGCTCGGCCGGCGAGGGCTCCGTGCGCTCGGGCGGCCGCGGCGCCGCGGGGTCGCCGAGGCTATACCTCGGAGGAGGACAAGGATCCCATAGCGCTACCATCCGCCCGGTTTCCTCTTGTTGAGCCTCCTGGGACGCCCTCGTCGCCACCGCTGGATGCGCCTCGAAATTCTGGTCAGAGCGCACCCCAGGAGAGGTCCCGGGAGTAGCGGTATCGGTACCTTTTGGTCTCCCCAAGTGAGCCACGCGCAGAGGTGGGCAGGGGGATTCTGGGCCTCCTAGATGGGATCCGAGCAGACGGGGCTGGAGGATCGCGCCGCATCGCCACTGCATCGCCGATCGATGCGGCTTGTTGTGGAGCCTGGTTTGCTTCACGTCGACGGCGCCGACGTACCGCCGACGTCGCCGATGCTCGCCGATGCATCGGCGATGTATCCCCGATGCATCGCCGACGCGGCGCGAGCCTCCGACCCCATCTGCTCCGATCCCATCTAGGAGGCCTCGGGGGTTGGGGACAAAAAGCCCAGACCCCCTCGCGTTGTGACGGGAGGTTTGTCGCTATTTTCGCCCTCTGGGGGCCTTTACCAGGCCTCGGGACCGTCAAAAGTGACCCAGGAGGAACAACTGGTTCGTGAGAAGGGGTCGAGAGTTCTGGGGTTCGAGGTTGTGGAACAATTACGGCGTCGGGGCTCTGGGAGCGCCCCTACCTTTTTTTACGAGGCATTGTGCGCTGAACTCCCTGCGGGCTGACAGGGTAAACCATCCGCATCGCGCGCGGCGCGCGGCGTCCTGGTGGCTCCCTGGCCTTTGGGAACTCCCAGGTGGTTTACAGACCACTCACTTGTAACCAAGGGTAGGGGCGTTTTGTTTTCACTCCCCAAGGGTAGGGGGGGAGAAGGCTTCTTGGAGCCAGAAGCCTTCTAACAAGCCTTCCTTCCTTTCCCTACCCCCCTGTGCGCGCTGCCAGTTTGAGGCCGACCAAATTGGGTCGAACCCTTCGATCTGGGCGGTGCAACCTCCCAGGCATGATCGCGATGGTGAACATTCCCGGCGGGAGTTTTGCCTGCCCTGTTCGGTTGCCGGGGGCCTTCGCCGGGCGCCGGGGACAGTCCACAGAACGGTGCGCGATGGAAAGCTGGCCCCCGAGGAGTGGTGCGGGGCTCCTGGGCACCGCATGCCTGGGCCAGCATCGGCGGAGTGCTTCCACCCGGGGGGGGATGGTCCCAATCTTGGCTTGGCATCGCTCGGACGTGTGCATTTTTCCTTCGGCGAGGACCATCGAGGAGCATCCTTGATCATTTGGCGAAAAAACCACGCACGATACCGAAAAAAACACAGGGAATGGACGTCCGAGCGATGGCCAGTTGGTGATGGTGGGAATATTCACGCTTCCTGTAGGATGCCAAGAGATTGCCGCCGGCACCAACACCCAAGATCATGCTCCCCGGAGGAGCACATGCTGGTGCTGGTGCACATTTCCAGGCCTCCAATTTTTGGTCACGCTGGGCGTTTTCTGCCGCTTTCGGTCCCGGGGGCCCTCACATACTCCAGATTTCGTAATAAAGGGAGGGGGGTCTCATTTCGGGGGGGGTCTCTTCCAGGGTATCTAGGAGGGCCTGGGGGGGTCTGGGGACGATGTTTTGGAGGGTTCTCCCACGGGGGAGGTCTGAAATGGCTTGTCTTGGAGGGTCCAGACCCCCTCCCTTTTATTACGAGATCTGGAGTATCGATCCGACTCGGGAAAATTACGCAGAATGTTGGTGTCTAGGGCTCCGGTAGGGTTTGCCTCGATGTTACATTTTTGTTGCACCGTCAGATCTCAGGGAGGTAGATGGGGTTGGTGGATCGCGCCGCATCGCCGATGCATCGCCGATATGCGGCCGCCGATGAGGCGCAATCCTTCGACCCAATGTGCTGGAACCCTATGTGGGACTCCTCCAGAGGCGGAGGTCCCTACGGCCAACGAGAGCGGGGATCCCCCCCCCCCCTGGGGTCCGCCCTCGCGTCGTGGAGCAGCTCGCCCAGAAAGCGTTCGGCAGTCTTCGGCCCCCGGGGGCCCTGCAGGGCCCCGTGCCGCGGCGAGTGGCGGATCGAGACGAGAAGGTCCTGGTGAAGGGGCCACGGCGTGAACTAACATCACGACGTCGGAGGTCTGGCTTCCCCAGATCATCTGATACCGTTGCTTTTCGTTAGCGGTTTGGGCGCTCGTCGGTTTCGGTCGCGACCGGATCTCCGATTTTTCGGTCACGTCATCATCATCATCATCATCATCATCATCATCATCATCATCATCATCATCATCATCATCATCATCATCATCATCATCATCATCATCATCATCATTATGATCACCATCATCATCATCATCACCATCATCATCGTCATCATCATCGTCATCATCATCACCATCATCACCGTCACCATCATCGTCATCATCATCGTCATCGTCATCATCCTCATCGTCATCATTATCATCACCATCATCATGTGCGTGGTCGAAAACTGGGCTGATCCGGCATGACCCTGTTGATTCCGTTGGATCCCATCTAATGCGGCTAATATCGGGGGTAGGCAGGGAATGAATCCTTTCCAGAGCATTCCGGAATGCTCTCAGAGCGTTCCAGAACGCTCTGAGAAGGCCGCGGCGCTCGAGACATTCTCCAGCGCCTGCGGGATCTCAGAGATTCCCGATTTACCCTCACCCGATTTTGTCGTCGCCCTGGCGTCCCAAGATCATCCGATACCTATTATTTTCGGTAGCGGTTTCAGCGCTTGTCGATTTTCGGTCGCAGCCAGATATCGGATTTTTCGATCACGTCGGATAGTTGCAAATCGGTGCTAATTTGGAGAGGGTGAAATTCGGTAGCGGGGAAAGGAATTTCGGTAGCGAGTCCGGCGCGATAATTGCAGCGGGAAGACAAAAATCGTCAGCAGGCAATGAATATCGGTAGTGAGAAAACGAGAGTGGGTAACACGAGGATCATCATCATCATCATCATCATCATCATCATCACCACTACCACCACCACCACCTTCATCAGCATCATCATCATCGTCGTCGTCATCATTGCCATCATCATCATCATCATCATCATCATCATCATCATCATCATCATCAGCATCAGCATCATCATCATCATCATCGTCATCATCATCATCATCATCATCATTATCATCATCATTGTCAGCATCAGCATCATCCTCGTCATCGTCAGCGTAGCGTCATCGTCATCATCGCTATCACCTTCAATATCATCACCGTCTCAACGTTATCCTCATCGACAAAGAAGCTATCAGCATTTACAACATGTCGCTGGTGCCATAGTCATCACGAGTTCTATAGTACATTTCATGACGTTTCTAAACGTCAAGAAGCGTCGAGGAACGTCAGACAACACCACGACAGGCCTCAGGGATATCATCAGCAATTTCAGCATGACGTTGGTGACTTCAGCATCATCATCATCATCAGCATCATCATCATCACCATCTCGATCATCGTTACCATCACACGCATCTGCATGATTAGTACCACCATCGCGGTCGTCAGTGCCATCAGCGTCATCATCGGAATCCTTCCCATCATGTCACATCAGTGCCATCATCAGCATCATCTTCATCATCCACATCGGCGTCATCATCATCATCATCATCATCATCATCATCATCATCGTCAGCATCATCATCATCAACATCAGCATCATCATCACCGTCGTCATCATCACCATCATCATAATCATCATTCTCGCTGCAACCTATCATCCCCATCTAGAAGAAATTCGGTAGAGCCGAAACGAAACTCAGTGGTGCCGAATAGAATTCGGTAGCGGCGACGCGCTCAAATTCGATAGCGTTGAAACCAATTTCAGTAGCGCGCTACCAGTTTTTTGGCGCAGTTTCGATCGTGCATGCAATGCTCTCGCTACTGGTTTCGGAGCGCTGTTTTTCGGTATTGCGGTCGCGACTGGATCCTGTGAAGCGCTACCAGAAAGCATAGGTTTCGGATGATCTAGGTCGTTTGACTATATCGCGTTTAATCCTTGGCTTCACCTACGCTCATCCGGCTCAGTGGCCCACTGTCAATCTGGCCTTCATCCTTCAGACCTCCCAGCAGTTGCCTCCCGACCGCCTTTATGGTCACTCCTGTGGGAGGGGGTCTCCGATCTCGTCGGCCGCCCCATCACCGACATCTCGCCGCCCTCGCGCATGACGCCGGAGGCGCTCCGGCAGCGCGGCATGGGCGTGCAGTTCCCGGAGGAGGCCCCGCGGCTGTGTACCATCTCGGGCCGTGCCAGAGGGGGTTCACCACCTTCCCTTCCCTTCAAAATGGAGGCTCGAGGAGGAGGCGGACGAGGACGAGGAGGAGGAGGAGGAGGAGGGGGAGGAGGAGGAGGAAGAGGCCGAGGAGGAGGAGGTGGAGGAGGAGGAAGCGGAGGCGGAGGCGGAGGCGAAGGCGGAGGTGGAGGAGGAGGCGGAAGAGGAGAACGAAGAGAAGGATGAGGAGGAGGAGGAGGAGGAGGAGGAGGAGGAGGAGGAGGAGGAGGAGGAGGGGGAAAGAAGCGGTAGAGGCCGAGGAGGAGGAGGCGGAGGAGGAGGTGGAGGCGGAGGCGGAGGAGGAGGGAAGATGGAGGATCGAGGGCTAGTGTCCTGCGCCTGCATTTTTCGAGGTCCCGACTTCGTTCGGTTCCCTGTGCGCTGAGCTGATGGGCCTCACGTGCCTCTCTCTCTCTCTGCTGAAGTCGGGCATGTCCCTCTGCAGTAGGACAATTCCGAATTACTCCAAAAAAGTCTGGGCACGATGTTTCGATTATTTCTAAGCTACTTATCAGGTTTTGTTTTGCTTGTTTGATTATCTTGCAAAGTCTGTCTGTAGGAGGACATTCCCGACCTAGTCCTCGGCCGAGCCCCAAACCCTCGTGGGACGGAGGCCCTCGTGCCTGCGGTGCGCGCCCAGCTGCGCCTCGGCCACGCGCGAGGATCGAGGATCGAGGATGGAGGAGGTGCTGCGCGAGGATGGAGGATGGAGGAGGATCGAGGATCGAGGATCGAGGATGGAGGATCGAGGATGGAGGATGGAGGATCGAGACGGGGAGGATCGAGGATCGAGGAGGGAGGAGGGATGGAGGATGGAGCGAGGATCGAGGATCGGCCACGCGGGAGGATCGAGGATCGCTTTTGGGACGTCATCGTGAGTCCTCGCCACCCACCAACCCACCCCATCCCAGCCCGAAGGCCCCGATTTGCCCTTCATTTCCAGGGGGGGGGGTCGGGGAACGTTGAACAAAAACACGTATGGAACCCGTACCCCCCCCGACCCGAAATTCGGGTCTTCGGGTTGGGTTGGAGCGGTCTGGTGGGTGGTCAAGTCCTGGGGCATCCCCGGGGGTCCCAGGGGAAGGGGGGGGGGGGGGCGACATTTCCGCGAGAAGGAGGAGCTGGCGACCCGCCTTGGTGGTGACCCCCCCTCTCGGCAAGACCCGGGGGCCATCGACGTGGAGGGCGGCGAGCTCGCGGCGCGGGCGCTGCAGTTCTGCCTGTGCCCGACCCCGGAGCTGGGGCGGAGCCGGTCCTCGGGGTCGACGGAGGCTCCCGGAGGAGGAGGAGGAGGAGGATGAGGGGAGGAGGAGGAGGAGGAGGAGGAGGAGGAGGAGGAGGAGGAGGAGGAGGAGGAGGAGGAGGAGGAGGGGAGGAACAAAATTGCTGGTGCCGCTGCTGGTCCTGGAGGGCCCTCGTGGCCACGGCTGGAATCTCTCCCCGACCTGTCGGTTGGAGCGCGCCCCGGGAGAGGTCCGGGGAGGCGCGGAGGCCATCGGAAAATCAAGCATGGCATGACCATGATCGCGCGGACGACTCGAGCAGGTCACCGACAAGGAGGCGTGGAGGAGGCCAACGCAGATTTTCATTGAACTGGGCGCTGGGCCCCCCTGGCGCGCCCCGCGCTCCAGGGCAAGGGGTCCAGCGCCGATGCAGGCGGCCCACGCGGACCTCTGGAAGGTCACGCTGATGCAACTCGTTGTTCCTCGACTTGCCCTGGCCCCTGGCGCGCAGCGTCCAGGCAGGCGTGACAGGGAAAGGGGTCTGGTCTGCGCGCTCCGCGCGGAGAGGGGTCCAGCGCCGATCCAGGAAATCCGTGCGGAGCTCCGAAACTGCATCGCTCTCCCAAGAGCATGATGGGCCCATTTTCCACCGCCGCTACCATATGTAGGAGGGGGAGGGGAGAAGGAGGAGGAGGAGGAGAAGGAGGAGGAGGAGGAGGAGGAGGAGGAGGAGGAGGAGGAGGAAGAGGAGGAGGAGAGGGATGAGGATGAGGAGGAGGAGGAGGAGGAGGAGGAGGAGGAGCAGGAGTAGGAGGATGAGGAGGAGTAGGAGGAGGAGGAGAGGAGGAGGAGAAGGAGTAGGAGTAGGAGTAGGAGGAGGAGGAGGAGGAGGAGGAGGAGGAGGAGGAGGAGGAGGAGGAGGAGGAGGAGGAGGGAAGAGAGAGAGAGAGAGATAGAGAGCCAGACACGATCGCGTCGCAATAAAAAAAAGTCAGGACGGAGGCTGTTCACTATTTTCGGCCCTTGGGGGCCCTCGCCGGGCCCCGGGACCGTCAGGAAAAGGCTCAGTATGAAACGCCGGCCCCGGGGAAAGGGTCTGGACTTCTGGGGACGCCGCACGGAGAGGGAGGGAGAGAGTGAGAGAAAAAAGCCGTGCAACTCAGAGGGTGCCTTGGCCAAATGGGGTGACACGACTTCTTGTACGACTGGTCGTCAGCCCCGTGCATGAATAGGAGTAGTGTAAGCATCTCGTCAGGCATACCACCCTCGCCAGGATGCCCACAGGGCGGACGACCAGGGGGGGCGGGGAGAGAGCAGCGGCAGCAGGGAGGCACAGAGGGGAGCGGCACCCGGGAGACCAGGACGAGCCCGGAGCCACAGGGGGCGGGTAAAGGAGAGCAAGCGACGGGGGAGGACAGCCGAGAGAGGGGGGGGCGACAGCCCGAGGGACGAGCAGGAGGGAGAGCAGGCAGGTGAGCGGCGCAAGACGGTGGCAGAGGGGGCGACGACACCACCTGGAGGGCGGGCGGCGGGGGGCAGGCTTGCGCAATGTCCCCGTACCACGGATTATCAGCATTCAAATCATGAGACGCTCACCTTGTAAACGTTGTACTTCCAGCCTCGGACCTAAAACTACCAGCCTCGCACCGTATTAGACGACTCGCACCTTCAACATGAATCTTCGTTGGAATAGAACATATGCACCTAAAGCATGTGACAGGGCGTGCAAAGCTTCCTCGCCGCCAGCCGGCTGGCAAGCAGAGTCGTGCACCTGGAACTTCCGCGTGCTGGGCGGGGCTGGCCCTCTCTCTGCGCGCCGCAGGCTTGCACCTGCGCATGCGGCTGCTCCCTGGCAAGGGGGCAGTTTGTCCAACGGGCTTCAACTCCTCCTCCTCCTCCTCCGCCTCCTCCTCCTCCTCCTCCTCCTCCTCCTCCTCCTCGCCTCCGCCTCCTTCTCCTCCGCCTCCTTCTCCTCCTCCGCCTCCTCCTCCGCTTCCTCCTCCTCCGCCTCCTCCTCCTCCTCCTCCTCCTCCTCCTCCTCCTCCTCCTCCTCCTCCCCGCGCGTCAGCTGATCGTGGTGGTGCTTGCTTCTTCCCCCAGGCCAGCCGCCCGGAAGCCCCCGGGGGGCCGTCCGACGCCGAGCGGGCCCTGCAGTTCTGCCTGTGCCCGACCCCGGAGCTGGGGCGGAGTCGGAGCCGGTCTTCGGGCTCTGCGGAGGCTGGCCGGCTGGAGAACCTCTCTCCGTAGACTCGGGCGCGTTTGCTACGCGATCGCAAACATGGATTTAGGGGGCGTGGATTAGCGGCGGGTCCCGCTTCCGTGGGAAGTCGCGGATTTCCGCCGCCGAGCGAGGCGGCACCGGCCGCATCCTGGTGAGGGCACCTCTCCCGATCCATGGATGTGGCGACCGCGCGCCGAATCCATGGATCGCTGGTCCGTGTTTGCGCGCCCCATAGTTTGCTCGCATGGCATCCCCGCCCCAGCCCTCTCCGCCGCCTGGCTCAGCAGCGCTTGGCCGGAGAGGCGTGCCAGCAAGGCCCGACCTCTGTGAAGTCCAGATTCCTTTCGGGGCCCCACCCCGCCCCCACTCCACCCTCCTTTTCCATTCCAGTCACCATGCCGGAATCTTGCGAAGACCTGCCTCCAAGGGGCTCCCGACGCGCGGGGTCGGGCCTCGGGGAATCGAGTCATAGAACAACCACGACGGGGGGGTTTCTTCGTGTTCAGCCCCTTGGGGCCCTTGCCAGGCCTCGGGGCCGTCGACAAGAATACTCGAATCCTGGGAAACGCAAAAAACTCGAGTACGCTGGCACTCGGGTCCGCCGACGTTTTTTGGCGAGCGTGTTCTTGACGGTCCAGTTTTCGGGGGATGATTGCAGCGGGGGTTCGCGTCAAATTTCAGATTGGGTCTCGTCATTTCCATGATGGCCCCGTCAGGTCAACCCGAGTCCCCCGAACCCGAGTCTCACGATTTCCCGAGAGGGGGAGAGAGAACGGAGACGGGCGGAGATGATTTCGAGGAGTCGAGGAAGCACAAACGTGGGATAAGATGCCATGGCGCGTGGATGCGCGATGGGCCCCCCGGTTTTTCCGCGAGAGATCGGGGCTTTCCGTCGCCGGATCAGGCGGCAGTGGCCCCATGTTTCGGTATATTTTCGGCCAACAAAACACATGACGCCACGCCACCTACGGCCCGCCATGTCGCCCTACGGCCCGTCGGGGGCCGTCGTAGCGTATACCACGCAGAATCCCCCCAAGCCGGAATTCATAGTATATGCCGAGGCCCGTAGGGCCGTAGGTGGGGTGGTGTCGTTTGCTTTCTGGTCCAGACGTTGCGCCCCTGCGCCAGATCCACGGATCCATGATCCTTGCTGTCGTGTGCCCGAAGGAGGCAGGTGGATCCGTGACCGGTGGCGCAGCTTGTTGTCAGCCCCCAGAAGGCGGAGAGGGCGAGGGACTTCTGCCTCTGCCCGACGCCCGAGCTGGGCGAGGCTCGTTCCCCGCGGTCGTCGACCTCCCGGGGCTGAGAAGCTCGGCCACGCGCCGAGGGGGAGCAGGGGGAGGGGGCAAGGCTTCTTAGAAGCATCCCTGCTTCTAGGAAGCCTTCCCCCCTCCCCCTACCCCCCTCTGCGCGCCTCCAGAACCACGTGGTGGGGTTCTCCTCCGAGTGTCCTGCAAGAGAGATCCATCAGCATTTCGTTGGTTTCTTCCGGCTCGGGGATGGCCCCCACGGATGTCCGTTGGCCTCGGACTAGTCTTGGCATCTCGGTACCCAGTCGGTCTGCCCCCCATGGACATGGTTACATCCCCGCTGGGCGAATTGACCAAGATCCCCGTCCTCGCCATCCACCTCTTAACCTCACCTCCTTTCTCGTTTTCGTTGTCCTCTTACACATCCTCCATGGAATCACGGCAGCAGCGGGGTGTGGCCCGTCGCCCTCATCTGCCCTTCGATTGCATCGTCAGTGCGATTGTGGTCTGCGCGCCGCACGTCCATCCTGCATTGAAGCTCGAGCTTGTCGCCTACCACGTGCACTCCAGTGTGGCTCGTTCGAGCTGGTCGCTCATGGCTGCTTCCACAAATTCGCTCCCACAGCCCTTGACAGTGTGCACGATGCAGTGCGCTGTCACGGCAGTGCGCTGTCACCGCCTACCCGTGCTCGTGGTTTTTCAATGTATGTCCGTCTCATTTCTTGCGAGAACGTCGCCCACGCTTTCCTTCCGTTGGGCAACAAGGTCATGTGGAATCATCATCGGGCGATGGTAATAACCAGGTGTGGCGCTTGGGTCTGGTGTGGGTGATCCGATGTTGCCTATGAGGGAGCCCATCCGAACCGCAATCCGACGCGGCCCCACCAGGGAGCTCGCCCTCATCGATTTCACGAGTACATTGGCCCTCTGCTCGACACGCTTGATCTAGCTCTCTTCGGGCTTCATCTGTCTGCTGAAGCTGCTGTTGACGTCTTCCACCCACTTTCAATGACGCAGGACACTGCACGGTTCGTCCGTCTCGCCATCGCACACCGTCATCTTGTTTCTTGGAGTTATTCCAATCGTTGGCTGTGTGCTAGTACTTCTACATACTTTGAATTTGGTTGCCAAGCATTGTGCAGTGGATTCACCCGTTCTCGACAGGTTTGTCTCTGCACCGCCCTCCTTTTCTGGACTGTGGCATCTTCTCGCTGCGCTTCCTGTACCCGTCCTCCTCCACCCGACGCCGGCGTCTTGCCGAGCGTGCCGCCCACTCCAGCTCGGCTCAGTGGTCTCCAGCGGGCGACCAAGCAGTCAACGCGCGCTGTGCGGATCTCTGACCTGGTGGTAGCAGTTGCGGCGCTCCCAGAGCGGGGGCACCTCCTCGTCTAGACGCACGTCCAGACTTGCTTGCGGCCTGCCCAGTCGTAAGGATATGCTTGAACATGTCCGGCTTGTTAGCTTGGTGTTTCTGCTTGCGTGATCGGCTTCCATGCTTGCTTGATTTCGTTGCTATTGCTTGGATATGCTTGCCCTTTCGGACTTGACTTGTTTGCCTCATAGGCTTGGTGGGTGGCCTGCTTGCATGTCAAATCTCATGCGCCGGCTGGCCAGCAGCTGCGGCAACAGGGCTGTTCCATTCCGCCGGGAGGCGTGCGCTGCGCGGCGCGGGGTGCCCAAGCGCTCACCATCGCCATGGTGTGGAGAAAGTGGTTGCGAGGAGCCTTTGCCCTCCGCCAGATCTTTTTCTATTAGGAGCTTTGGCTCATCGTGTCGCGTCGCCGGGTCTGCCCCACCACGCTTCGGCGCGGCACGGGCAGCCCGCCACGCGGAGCGACACGCCACCCGCTTGCAGGGCACAGCACGTCGCCGAGGCCGCCGCCGTAACACGCGAAGGACAAAAATCCGGGCCCTCCTCCTCCTCCTCCTCCTCCTCCTCCTCCTCCTCCTCCTCCTCCGTACCCACCGCCTCGGAGTCGTCCACATGGACTTCGAGGACCGCTCGAGGAGTCGTGGACATGGAAGTCTGCCCGCCCCCGAAGGCGGGAAGCATGGAGTTGTCCATGTCTGCTATTCCTTGCGGATGCACGGCAGGGCTCCACAGGCAGTGGTGGATGTGGCTGTTTTTCCTGGCGGGGCGCGTTGGCGTCGCTGCCGCCGTGGACCCGCCGCAGTTGCTCCCCTCGATGCCCAGCCTCCGTCGGCGTCTCTTCTGGCATGTCATCTCGCGCTGTCTTCGCCAGACCGCCGTGGCAACGCTAGGCTGAGAATGGTTAACTACTGCACTTCTATGGTCTGGTCGGGCGCGCGCCTCCAAGGAGGACACTCGGTACCACTGCGCCCTTCTGCGCCCCGCTCCGCGCGGCCGCACACCGGCACGCAGCACACAATGTTGGTTGGCGGCGGTGGCGTGAGCGCCACGAGGCGCCGGACAGCATCCGCCGGCGCGCGGCGGAGCTCGTGGCGCAGCGCAGCGGCAGGGAGCAGCAGGAGACCCCGCCGTGGGCGTTCGAGGTCGAGCGCCGCTGGCGGCCCAGAGTCAGCGAGCATCGCTCCAGGTCGAGCGATCCACGGGGGGCTTGGAAGCCGACGGCGAGGTCGCCACGACGCGAATCTGCTGTACCTTCGCGTGCGCAGAGCTTCTGGGCCCGCCGGCTTGCGGCGCGTCTAGCTGCTAATCAGGCCGCTGTCGTGACCCGTAGCGCTTCTGACTCCGCTTGCGCCTTCGCTTGCGGACGCGACCGAAAAAAGTGTGCAGAGCTTTCTCAGTGACCAGGGCAGCTCCAGGATGATCAACCGTCTGTCTTCCTCGGGCCCCACTGGCATGTCGTGGTCCGCCTGCTGGCTCCGTCTGCACTTGAGTGAGCCCCAGAGTGCCGACACCATACGTTGAGGAGTAAATTTTGATCCGGCAGTTCGTTGCCGACTCTGCGATGGCACGCCCGGCTACGTCGTGGAGATTGGCTGTCTAACTACCCAGACAGATCTCAAATCCTGGTCTTATCCACTTAGCACTCCTGCCTCACCGTCGTCGGTGGCGCCGTCATCTAATAACTGCGTCGCCTGCATCAGTGACCTCACTGCTGCATTATACTGTGCCGTACTTTTCAGTTCCATCATCGCTGTCTCTGGCCAGCATTTCCGCTCTTCTCCATCGTGGATGTATGGATGTATGTCCAGTGGTCTCTTTTAACCTGCCTCTCTGGTCAACTTGTGCCGCCTAGCTCTTCTTTGTATTTGTTATCGGTTTCTGCTCCACCGATCTGTTCTTTTTGACCATCCTTCTCATGTCCTTTCCTTGTTGTTCCCCTTTTGCCCCTTGCGGCCCTACTTTCGCTCATGCCGCGGATTATCGTCCTCCCGCTCTGCCTCCTCCTTCTCCTCCTTCTCCTTCTTTTGTCCACCATCCCTTCACTCATCTTGTTCTTCAGCTCTTTTTCCTACTCAGCGGCCTCATCCTCCCAATCCTCCCTCTCCCGCTGCTCCTCCTCGTTCCTTGTCCCCCTTCCCGCCCTCCTCTCCTTTCTCATGATCCCCCCTTCTTTCCTAATCCACCCTCTCCCGATGCACGGCTGCCTCCAGCGCCGATGGGCGCTGGGAAAGGCAGTTGCACATGGTTTCGGCGGCGAGCGCAGGGGGGAAGCGAGAGGGGGCGAGCCTTCTCAGAAGGCCCCCCCCCCCGGACTTCCGAGAAGTGTCTTCTCCGGGCCCTCACCGATGATTCAGCGACTTCCCCTCGGTAGGCCGCAGGCCCTCCGAGAAGCCCATCTCAGGGAGCCAGAGACGGGGTAACAGCAGACGGGGTAAGAGGGCACGGCCGGTTCGGATGTTAAGTGGGCCAGTTGTTGCAGTGCAGTCTCTTTTTGCTTTCGCGTTCGATGCGGCACCTTTCACATGCTGGCTCTGCGTTGCACATTTTCGGCTTCTGCACTGCAACTTTTTGTTTTGGGCCCTCTGTTACCTGGTTTGTGGGGCTTGTTTGCAGTTTTTCCGCAACTGGTTGCCAACAAATTGCAGTGCATTTTTTTGGCGTTTCAGAAAAATGCAGTGCATTTGTGGGTCTGTCACCCCGTTTAGGCGTTTCCCGTATTCGTGCTCCCTGACCATCTGCCTTCCGAGAATGCTTTCTTCTCCTCACTTCCCCCCCCCTCGCTCGCCGCCGACGGCTTCTGCGGCAACCCCGCCCCATCCTCCGCAGATGTGAACCCTGTACACCACCACCTTACCAGATTAAAGCTGATTCCTGTCCCTAGGTTTGACATCGCCTCATCTCGATGCCTATCTCAAGGATGCCCTCAGTTTTCGACGGCGCATCCCTGGGACTGTCATTCTTCGGGATAGGGGTCAGTTCGATGCCGATTACCACCACCATGCCTGGGGAGGAGGAGGAGGACGAGGACGAGGAGGAGGAGGAGAGGAGGAGGAGGAGGAGGAGGAGGAGGAGGAGGAGGAGGAGGAGGACTGGTCAGGGGCCTCCTGGACTCCAGGGGCGGTGCATCGACATGCCTGGCCTCGAGCCCGGGGGAGCGCATGTGCGCCGCGCCTTGGGCGCAGAGAGACCCGGTCTAGGCGTGGTGGTGTATGGATGGCAGCGTTCGGGGGCGGCAAAGAGGGGGGTGAGGACTAGGGGGGATATCATGGCGGGGGCTATGATATGTCCCCAGATTTCATGGCGCCTCTTCTTGTTTCATTGCGTCCCTCGCCCCCCCGCTGGGCCGCGCAAATGCCGCCGGTCATGATTTGCACCACCCCCTCTTGGACAGCCCCCTCTTGGCCTGATCGGGCGTAGTAGCCCCCGAAGGGGTTTAATCCTCTTTATTCTTTCCGACGGAGACCTCCCAGCAGTTGCCTCCGAACCTCTTCCCCCACGGGGAGTGTGTCGCCGCGCCGTTTGCTCCGACGCGCGGCCTCCCGTCTTGCGGAGGGCGCCTCCGCCACTCAGGGCAGACGCCGCCGCGGACGCGAGGCCTGCCGCGGGCTTGCCGCGGTGCCCGCCTCGTCCATGCTTGGGCGCGCTGCGAACACACGGCGCGGCGACACGCGGGCCCGGGCAGAGGCGAGGCCCGCCGCGTCGAGCTCTCGGCCCCGGCCCTCCGCCTCGCCCGGGGCTCTGCAGCGGCGGTTCCACGACAGGGTCCGGCGCGCGTCGCTGGACTCGGCTGGGCGAAGGCCCGGGCGCGGGCCCTGGCGGAGGGGGGCCCGTAGGATCGAAACGGGAAGACCGACAGGGGTCCTTGTCGATTTTCCGACGAAGGCATCTATTCACCACCACCGTGCCAGACCAGGATGGCCCTGGTCTGGCACGGTGGTGGTGTATAGATGCTTTCTGCGTAGATTTGGAGCCGGGGGTCGCTGTCGGAGCCGCCGCAGGCCGTGGAAAGGAGCGTGCCCAACCGCGGCCGCCGCCGTTTTCGAACAGCGTTGGCTTCCGGTCCTCGTGCCCCCCTCTTTTCCGTGGGCAGGTCGGGCGTCCCAGGAGGGGGGGGGAGCGGCGGGCAGCAGGATCCCGCACGGCTTCGAGCCCTCGAATGTCCCCTGACCAGACCTGTCTGTTCGAGCTCGAAGACAGCAGCGGGTGCACTGCCAGATCTGGACGCAGGCGGGCGGCACTGCCTCTATAGTTGCCTCCCGTCGCCACCCCTGGCCACCCCCGGCCTCCCGTCTATAGTTGCATCCCGTCTGCCCCCATATCCATCACCCCAAGAATTCCTCGGTCTGTGCTGTCGGCCCCCGTCTTGGTGCAATCATGTGAGTACTGCGTGCTCTCATCTGATACCCACCCTCTTCGTCTTCGACCGTACACCTCTTGGGGGTGAATCTTCCTTACCTGCCGCGTGCAGCTGGCGCGGCCCCTAGAACATCGGAAGGGAGGAGGGGATATACGAGGGGGCGGAGGAACGATAAACGACGAAAGAGATTAGAAGGACGGGGTCCATAGCAGAGAATCAAGCGGCATAGCCAGGTGGGCGGGTCGGACGGGGGGACCCAGATGGCCGGGTCGAGCAGGCGATTCGCTGAAGCGTCAGTCTTGCATGAATCGCGAGGAAAGCTCGAGCGATAGCGCGATCCCCAAGTGAATCGTGAGGAAGTCCAGAGCGAGAGCGTGATTCCCGAGTGTCGAGGGCGCGGCGTCTCAATTAATTGCGAAGAAGTCCCATGCGAGAGCGGGATCCTTAGATGTATTGTGAGGACATCCCGCGCGAAAGCGCGATTTCGAATACATGTTGAGGATCGCCGTTGTCGTTTTAGTTCGGGGGCCAGCAACGCATTCTGAGGCTCAAGACTTCCTCTTGTGAGCAACAGGTTGCGAGCCCCAGGACGGCACTTCAATTGAAAAGCGCACGGTGCACCACAATGGGGTGATCAGCAATAGTTTAGACACCGGAGCTTAGTCATTTACATCTTGTTCATTCATGTCTGCTCGCGTGTGATGTACACCACAAGCCCTCGATACCCGCCCTCTTCGTCTTCGATCATGCCTCCCTTGGGGGTGTATCACCCTTATCTGCCACGCGTGGTTGGCGCAGCCCGCACAAGCCGGGGGAAAGGGGGGGGGGAGGGAGGGGACACGGGAGAGAGAAGGACGCAGGACGAGAGAGAGATCATTAGGACGGAGGTTACGAGCAGGAAAAGCAAGCGGCAGAACCGGAGGGGCGGGTCGGGCGGGCGGACCCTGACGGGCGGGTCGGGCCAGCGGGCCCAGACGGCCGGGACGAGCAGGCGATTCGCTGGAGCGTCGGTCTGGCAGGACTCGCGAGGAAGGCTCGAGCGACAGCGCGATGCCCAAGTGAATCGTGAGGAAGTCCAGAGCGAGAGCGTGAGTCCCGAGTGTCGAGGGCGAGGCGTCTCAACTATTTGTTAATATTTTGCGAAGAAGTCTCACGCGATAGCGCGATCCGTTGATGAATTGTAGGTAAGTGTTTTGGTTACATGGTGAGGACGGTTGAGGCGGGAGCCGTTGCCTTTGTAAACCAGGGCCCAGGGGCACAGTCTGGGTGCGAGCTCCGGGAGGGACACTTCAGTTTATCACGCGTACGTGTTAACGGGGAGGGGATCAACGAACACGAATATTTAGTCTCGCGAGCACTACAACAGCAGCAAACATTTTAACCCTGCTCGCTCTTATCTGCTCGCCAGGGGGTCAACATGCACATCCCCAAAGCCCTCGATTCCCGCCCTCCCCGCCTTCGATCGTACCCGCCTTGGGGGTATTTCTTCCTGACCTGCCACGCATAGTCGGCGCAGCCCGTAAAATAGGAGAAGGGAGGGAGGAAGGAGGATTCCAGGGGGGAGGGAGAACGATGGAAGACGAGGAAGCAAGCAGCATAACCAAACGGGCTGGTCGGGCGGGTGGAGACTAATGGGCGGGTTGGGCGGGCGGGTCTAGACGGCCCGGTTGAGCGGGCGGGTCGTTGAAGCATGCGCCTTGCACGGATAGCGCGATCCCCAAGGGAATCGTGAGGAAGTCCAGGGCGAGAGCGTGATTCTCGAGTGTCGAGGGCGCGGCGTTTCCATACAGTGCGAGTGCGTCCCATGCGAGAGCGCGAACCCTGCACACAGTGTGATGCAGTCCCGCGCGAGACGCGCGATTGTGAATGTGTTGTGACGTCACAGCTAGGTGGACAACATCGGGTTTTTTAGACCCCAAACTTCCCCTCGTAGAGTAGAAAAGGATACGAGCCCCAGGAGGGGTACTCCATTGGAACAAACATGAGGTGCACTGTAGGGGGTCAACAATCATTTTTCTTTAGACGTTGAAACTCAACACAGACTGTCCGTTCATATTTGCTCGCGTGCCATTACTCATTCATGTCCCAAACCCTCGGTACCTATGTCTTCCTTACCTGCCACGTGCATTCAGCGCAGCCCCAGGAGGGGGGCTAGGAGCAAACAGCGCGTGGCAGAACCAGGCGGGCAGATCGGCCAAGCGGACCCTGACGGGCTGGTCGGGTAGGCGGGCCCAAGCGCCCAGGTCGAGCAGGCGGGTTGCTGAAGCGTGCGTCATGCATGAATCGCGAGGAGGTCTCAAGCGATGGCGCGATTCCCAAGTGAATCGTGAGGAATTCCACAGCGAGAGCGTGATTCCTGAGTGTCGAGGGCGCGGCGTCTGAACAGCTTGCGAGGAAGCCCAACGCGAGAGCGTGACCCCTGCATAATGTGTGAGGACGTCCCGCGCGAGAGCCCGACTTTGAATTAAATTGTGAGGATGTATCAGGCGGAAACCGCTGTCATTGCAAATTGGGGGCCAACAGCCCAGTTTGGTAACACCTGCCTCTTCCTTATAGAAGAACTCGACAGCAACAACAACAGCAGTCATGTTCAGTTTGCTCGCATTCATGTCTTCCAGCGCGACTCAACACGTATATCTCTAGCCCTTTATGTCCGCTCTCTTCGTCTTGGCTCGTGCCCTTCGGGCTTCTCTTCCTGACCCGCCAGGCGCAGTCGGCCCGGCCGAGCAATCAGGGGATGGGAGGAAAGGGGCAATGGGGGAGGGAGAAGGATGGAGCACGAGAAAGTGGCAGGACGGAGGTTACAGTGCCGTTTTTTATACATGCTCCGCGTGCGGATCATGTATTAAACATGCAGGGGTTTAGTACTAAAAACAACGAGGAGTTCACGCATGAATTTAGTCATAGATTAACCATGTTTTAAACATCCAATGTTTTTGGTTTAAAACAAAAATCCCATGTGTTAAAAACTGCCCTGTAGGAAAAAGAGAAAAAGTGTGGGAACCAGTCCGCCAGGTTGGCCGGGCGGACCTTGACAGGCGAGTCGGGCGGGAGGGGGCCCGGACGGCCGTGTCGAGCGGGCGATTCGTGGAAGCGTCTTGCACGAATCGCGAGCAAAGCTCGAGCGATGGGCGCGATCCCAAAGTGAGTCGTGAGGGAGTCCAGAGAGTCGGGCCGGACGAAAGGGGGGGATTGGGAAAGGGGGGGTTAAGAAATTTGCTGCATGCAGCTGGTTTCAGCCTCACCGAGGGGCCCATTCCTCGATACATAGCCGCCTCCGGCGCCGGGAGGCGCCGGGAAAATCAGCTACGTGAGCTGATTCTCAAACCCCCCTTTTGCTATCCCCCCCTTTCGCCCGACCCGAGAGAGGGAAATGATGTTTGAGTGTCGAGGACGCGGCGTTTAAATGAATCGAGAGGCCCCACGCGAGAGAGTGCGATGTAAGGTTAACTTGTGAGGACGTCCTGCGCGAGAGCGCGGTGGTGAATAGTTTGCGCGGCAAGATCAGGCATCAGCCGTTGTCTCCGTATGTAGTTCTGGGGCCCGTACTGGATTGTTGAGACTTCGGTGCGAGCCCCGGGAGGAGCAGTTCAAGTTGGGGAATCAACAATCGTAATTGTTTAGCTATGAGAATTCAGCAACGGCTCCCGCCTGGTACTTTCTCGCATCTGATTGGAAATCGGGCTCTCGTTCGAGACATCCTCGCATGTGTTCCCCCACATCGCGCTGTCGTCCAGGACGTCCTTGCAATTTACAGATGTCCTGCGCTCTCGACGTGCAGGAATTCGGCTCTCGCCTAAAGCCTTCTTAACAACTTGCAAAATTAGTTTCAATGCCCGCTGGCAGGGCCCGCCCGTGATGGTCCGCCCGCCACCCGCGTGCCAGAGTCCGCTCGCCCGACCCGACTGCTGGGGTCCGCCCGCCGCACCCGCTTGTTAGGTCTGCGCGTCAGTGTCCGGCCTTTTTCGTGTTTGGAAGCCGCATTCCGTTCTGAGGCCCCACCCGCCCGATACGCTTTTCAGGGTCCGACCGCCCGACCCGCCCGTTAGGGCTGCCCATCCAGTCAGGATCCCTTTGCCAGAATCGTTGTTCTTCTCTTCCTCCCCTTCTGTTGAGCCTCCTTCGCCCTCAGTCCTCCCCCCGTCCTCTTGCCCCCCTCCGTTCTCGTGTCCCCCTCTTCTCCTCGCCACTCATCCTCTTCTTCCGTGTCCCCCCCCTGCCTACAGTCAACCCGCACAATACGGATGGGCCACCTTCCCAAGGGTAACATTGCATCCTTGCCCCTTCGGTCCAACCTTAGCGACGTTCACTGGCCAACCTCGTTCTCAAAACGTTAACATGGCCCTCCAAAGCCCTTGCGTCCACACCGTGCGTCCTTATTTTACTAGGCCACGCGCAGAGGGGGGTGGGGGGAGGGGGGAGGGCTTCTTAGAAGCACCCCTGCTTCTTAGAAGGCGCGGGCCTCATCTGTAGATGTAAGGCCAGCACCTTCTAAGAAGCAGTCTCCTCCTAAGCAGCCCTCCCCCCTCCCTCCACCCCCTTGTGCGCGCCGCCAACATACGGGGCGACTAACGTCGACACTGCACCAGAGCGCATCGTCGGAGACTCGGGCCCACCGCTACTTGCCCGCGCCCTGGCAGGCCGCCCGCCCTCCTCCGTGGAAGCTGCCCCCCCCCCCGGGCCCCCGCCCTCCCCGGGCCTTCGCGCGGCCACCCGGAAGACGGCCCGGCGCTCGCTCGCGGCCCCGGCTCCGCGAGCAGGTCCCCGAGGCCCGGGGCGCGTACGAAAATCGGGGGCGCGAGGGGCGTCTGGAGGCGGTTCTCTCCTGCAGACTCTGCCGGAGGAGGCAACATGGCACCCCGCAGCCCTAAACCCCATCCCTCGTCTTCGCCCTTCGGGGCCGCGCCTGGGAGGCCCGCGTCGCCACCGCTGGGTTCGCCCCGAAGGCCTTGTCGGAGCGCGACCCGGGAGAGGTCTGGGGAGCAGCGGCATCGGTACTGTCCTGTGCCCTCAATTCGGGGCCCTCTCGGACACCAAAAAGTCATGCGACAGGACTCGACGCGCCCCATGGGCCTCGAGGCGCGCCCCATGAGAGGTGACAGGTTTGGGTACGGGTCCCTGGGAGAATCTTCAGGATTGAGAGCTGGGGCTCCAGGGGGTCCAACAAGGGACCTGAGGGCATCCCAACTCGTGCCTCGAGGGCACGATGGCGGACTTGCACGGAGGGGGGGGAGGGGGGCTAGGGGGGAAGCCCCGAAAGGGAATCCGGACTTCACGCAAGTCGGGACTCACTTTCACGCATTGTCTTGCCCAGCGTTGCTGGAAAAGGCGGCGCAGGGGGCGGGGGGAGTCCAAAGTAAAACAGCCTCCTGGCTGGCGCAAGGGGCTCGGCACAAAGAGCGAGACTCGGAAGATTTTTATACAACGATCTTGTCTAGTTTCGGCAGTTTCCGAAACCTGCGAAGGGCGTGAGTGGTTCCCTAGCTTTTGGCAGTCCATCAGCTACGCTTCGTCGATGGCGTTCCAGGGGTGCCAGAATCGTCCCAAATGGCCGCCGGAGGTCCGAAATATGTCTCGAAAACAGGGTGCGTCGACCCCGAATCGCCCATGGATCGTCGACAGGGGCCTCGCAATCAGCCCTGCGGCCCAGGAGCGTGCGGATTCGCCATCAACGGCCTGCGGCCGATCTATCGGCGGTGTATCGCCGATTCCAGCCCGATATTTTTCCTCTTGAGCCGCTGCTCCGGTTCACTGTCGCTTTCGGGGGGGCCAGGGATCATGAAACGTCGAGTAGGCGATCGACTACAGAATTGATGTACCCTATCTGTTTTCTCAGAGACTCCAACAAGTAGGAACATGTTCGTAGACCAACGAATGTTAGACGTACCTGTTCGCAGATTCAGCGCAACAACATGCTTGGGATACATCAATTCCGCAGTCGATCTCCTACTCGAAGACGGGTTGGCGCGCGAGATGTGTGGCCTGCAGCTGGCCCCGGGTCCGCCCGCCCGCCAGGCACCCCCTCCCCCCGGCGCGCGGCCGCCTCTGGCGCAGAGGGGCTCTGGGGATGCCAGCTCCACGTGGCTGATTCGCTACGGGGGGGATGTTCGTTTGGGAACTTGGCATCGCTCGGACGTGTGCATGCTTCTAGACACTTGTTGGTCGGCGGGGCGAGAGCGAACCTCTTCCGCTAAAAGCTAGGCGGGCTACACACAGCTTTGATTAGGGAGACAGGGCACAGGCATGATTCTGGACACGGACCATCGAGGAGTATGTTGGGCCATCTTGCCCCCCCAAAAATACGCACGAAACAGACGAACGCACGGGGAGCGGCCTGGGGAACAGCAGGCGGCGTGGCCTTTGGTGGAGCTGTTATAGGGCCACGAAACGCTCGCGGGGTGTGCCGCAGTGGGCGCGGTCACGCATGCGATTCCTGCCGATGGAGCACTCGGTGGAGCCCCCAGGGGACCGGGAAACGTGCGAGGGGTGTGCCGAAGTGGGCACGGTCATGCATGCGATTCCTGCCAGTGGGGCTTTGGCTGGGGCGGGGGCCACGCGTGAGGGGTTTGCTGACATGGGCGCGGTCACGCATGCGATTCCTGCCATTGGGGCCTTCGGTGTAGCTCCCTATTGGGGCCACGAAGCGTGTGAGGGTTGCGCCGAAATTGTCAAAGGCATGCGGACGCAGCCTCTGGGGCCTTCGGCGGAGCTGAGAATGGGGCCACGAAGCGTGCGCTGGGTGTGCCAAAATGGAATGGCGGCGGTATGCGGGCGCAGCTACTGGGGCCTCAGGCGGAGCTACCTCTGGGGCCACGAGGCGGGTGAGAGGTGCGCCAACGTGGGGGTGGCGGCGGCATGCGGTCGCAGCCGCTGTGGCCTTATGTGGACCTCTCTATGGGGCCACACGAAGCGTGTGAGGGGTGTGCCGCCACGTTTTGCATGCGGAGGGCAGAGGCAGGAATGGGAGGAGGGAGGGCGGGGAGGGAGGAGGAGGTGGGGAGGACGCGGGGCGCTGCTGGTTCCGAACGAGGACGACGCTTAACACAAAACGGTTGGGAGCACGCCGATGTTTCCCAGTAGGGAAGAATCACTGATGCAAAGAATCGCCGATTCCCCAGGCAAGGTTGGAGAATATATGGGAGTCCATCCGGCAAACATGGAACGTTTTCTGGAATCGTTGTTTCTTTCTCGACTTTGTGATTTTGTTCGCAGTGTCGACCCCCAAAGGCCTCGACCCGTTCCCCCAGACCGGTTTCTCATCCCGAGTCTTTTTTTGATGGCCCCGAGGTCCAGTAAGGGCCCTTGGAGGCCGAACATGGCGAACAAACTTCTCGTCGCGCTCTTCTCACAGCGCGAGGGGGGCCTGCAGGGTCTGTGTGTGTACGTCCCTGCAGGGGCTCCACACCCTTTCGCTGCGGAGTTTTCGCCCGCCCCGCGAGGCTGACGCCGTCGCCCCCGCGGCCCGAGGCTGCCGGCACCGCCGCCTCCGCCGCCCCCGGCGGCGCCCGCCTCGCGTGAGGGCCGCGGGCGCCCCGGAGGGCTCGACGGCGCTGTGCCGAGCGTCGCGAAAAAGCGTTGTGCCTAAGGCGGGCCCGTCCCTCTGCAGGAGGAGTGTTCGAGAATAGTGAAGCATAGAAGGGGGACGATTTGTCGACTATTTGTTGGTTCTTTTTGTTTGTGTTTTTCCTATGTTTGCCCCCTGCTCGAGTCCATGGCGTACCTTGTCCTGTGCAAGTTCTTCGGCACCGCCTGTTTTCTGAGCCCTCCGGCCGCCTGAGGCCCTGCCCGCCCGTGCCCTGTCTCCCCACTTAGGGCCAATTACCCGCGTCCCGTTTAGCTCTTGACCGGAAGGGGCCCGCTCCCGACCCGCAGACCAAAAATGTTCAAGAATAGTGGAGCATAGAATGGGGGCGATTTGTCAATTATTTGTTGATTCTTTTTGTAGTTGTTTTTCCAATGTTTCATTTCTCTTCCGAAATCCGCCCGCAGGAGGACCTGCCGGACCTGACATTGCGCGGGCGGCCGGGTCGGACCGGGCAGATCCCGCGCAGCTCGGGGGCGGATGTTCTGCAGCGGCCGCGGCCCGAGAGAGAGAGGCGCAGCGAGAGGGGCCCCGAGTGGCGGAGGAGGCCAGGGGTGGACAGACCTCCTGCCCTGACACGTCGATTAAGGAATTGGCCGTTTTCGGTTCGCGAGAGGGCGTCGCGGCCGTCGTTTTTGCGGGTCCAGGTCCGTCGGTTCCGGTCCCAGGCCGTTTTCACTAAGGGGAGGTCTACTAAAGGGAGGTATGTCCACCGCCGAAGGATGCCAGGGGCGGCAGCAGAGCGAGAGGGCACCCCGCCCCCACCTGCCCCCCTCGCCCACTTCCAAGAGGATCGGGCCGGGCGATAGGGGGGGAATGGGAAGGGGGGGGGGTACGACATTTGCTGCATGCTGCAGCTGGTTTCGGCCTCACCGAGGGGCCCATTCCTCGATACATAGCCGCCTCCGGCGCCAGGAGGCGCCGGGAAAATCAGTTACGTGAGCTGATTTTCAACCCCCCCTTTGCTATCCCTTCCTTTCGCCCGACCCGAAAGGAGGGGTGGATTGTACTTGTTGTTCATTGCTTTGGATGCGCCCGGTATCGGGGCGAGGGGCTTTGTGCTATCTTCGGCCTCCGGGGGCCCTCGCAGGGCCCCGGGCCGTGAGACAACGGCCCAGGCCTGGCGCCTGGCGGGAAGCCGGCCCCGGGGAACGGGACGGGACTCCCAGGGGAAAAAGGCAGTGCGCCGCACCGCATGTCTGGGAATGGCTCGACGTTTCTTCGCCGATCGACGTGGCGCTGTCCCGTCTAGGATCTGGGCGCCCCATTCTTGTCCACAGTGGGCGTTTTCGCCTGCATTCTGGTCCCGGGACGCTCACAGAGCGATCCGGCTCGGAAAATGGCGCAGAGACATGGGGTATAGGGCTCCGGTCGCTTCAACAGGTTTGGTTAATTACGCCGGGGTATGGTTTGCGATCAGAGCCGTTGGGGCTTCGGGGGTCACCGCGTTGCGCCAAAGGTTTGCTGAGTCCTCGTCGGGGCGCGGCAGGGATCTCTGTCGAGGTGCTCGCCAGCCCCCCTCCCAGGCGCGGATTGCAAACCACACCCTCGACCAATCTACTCCCAGCCCCCCTCCCAGGCGCGGATTGCGGGTGTGACCCCCGATCTTCGCCAATCGATTTGCCGCAGTCAGGACAGGCAGATCTGATGGCAGCCCTAGAATTATACAGGGAGGACGGGGGTCAGCGGCGATCTTGGCATAGGAGATTGATGGTTATTCTCCCTTCGGCATTGTAACTCCCAGCCCGCGTTTCATTTCGTGCTGCCCACTGCGATTCGCATGATGCCGAGGGACGCAGCCCCGGCATTCTCGGACCACACAAACATTTGTTATGTCTGGGTCCAAAAGGTCAGTTCTCCTTGGACGCAGGTGCGGTTTAGGCATTCGTTGAGGAATGCGCTCAGGAGGTTTCCGACCTTGGAGGACTCCTTACCTGGTGTGGGCACTGGTGATTTCCATGGCCAATGCGCGATTAGAGTTTCACCGGCTTCCAGACCTTGTATTCCTTTTTCGAAGGTTAAGTCGGGTATGTCCCGATACAGGAGGGATATTCAAACGCTTGCAAAATGGTATGGGGACGATTTCTCTTCGTTCCAACAATCGTTGAACATCCGCCTGTAGGAGCACGCGCCGGACATAATCCAAGGGTTCTTTTTCGGGCGTCGCATTGGGGAGGTCATGGATGGGGGGGTAGCGAGGGTGGTCCGAAAAGGTACCCAAACGGCACCTAAACGAGCCCCCTGGGGCTCCGGAGGGGCACGGAAGGGGCAGGGAAGTGGACCGTTTCTTACCCTCCCACTTATGACCCCCCCCCTAGAGCCACGCTCAACCTGTGTCCAATGCCCTCGCCGTATCAGAAGAGGCGGCTCTATCGATACCGATGTGTCCTTCCCTCGTTGACACGGCTACGCTCGCTCTGATATTCTGGCCAGACCGCAGCCCCGGAGAGGTGCGGGGAGCAGCGGTGTTGTTTTTGTTGTTGTCGCCCCCCCCCCCCCAACAAAATTATGCTAACAGAGTTCCCCACATAATGATGTTAGTGGGATAGTGGAATCAAGGATCATTTTGTCATGAAATTGCCGACCTGCCCTCGCCCTCTCCATCCTTTCCCATCACATGGTTTGCGAATACCCTCCTCGCTCAGGCGGGGCCTCCCTGGAGGGGTGGGAGGGGCACGAAACCTGATAAGTTCGCGAATACTGTCCTCGCTCAGGCGGGGCCTCCCTGGAGGGGTGGGAGGGGCACGAAATCTGGTAAAGAACACTGTTCGCGACTACAGTCCTCGCTCAGGCGGGGGCTCCCTGGAGGGGTTGGAGGGGCACGAAAACTGATAAATAACACTGTTTTCGAACAGCGTCCTCGCTCAGGCGGGGCGAGCCTCCCTGGAGGGTGGGAGGGGCACGAAACCTGATAAATAACACTGTTTTCGAATAGCGCCCTCGCTCAGGCGGGGCCTCCGTGGAGGGTGGGAGGGGCACGAAACTTGATAAATAACACTGTTTTCGAATAGCGTCCTCGCTCAGGCGGGGCCTCCCTGGAGGGGTGGGAGGGGCACGAAACCTGATAAATAACACTGTTTTCGAATAGCGTCCTCGCTCAGGCGGGGCCTCCCTGGAGGGGTGGGAGGGGCACGAAACCTGATAAATAACACTGTTTTCGAATAGCGTCCTCGCTCAGGCGGGGCCTCCCTGGAGGGTGGGAGGGGCACGAAACCTGATAAATAACACTGTTTTCGAATAGCGTCTTCGCTCAGGCGGGGCCTCCGTGGAGGGTGGGAGGGGCACGAAACCTGATAAATAACACTGTTTTCGAACAGCGTCCTCGCTCAGGCGGGGCCTCCCTGGAGGGGTGGGAGGGGCACGAAACCTGATAAATAATATTGTTTTCGACTAGCGTCCTCGCTCAGGCGGGGCCTCCCTGGAGGGGTGGGAGGGGCACGAAACCTGATAAATAGTAGTGTTTTCGAATTGCGTCCTCGCTCAGGCGGGGCCTCCCTGGAGGGGTTGGAGGGGCACGGAACCTGATAAATAGCACTGCTTTCGAATAGCGTCTTCGCTCAGGCGGGGCCTCCCTGGAGGGGTGGGAGGGGCACGGAACCTGATAAATAGCACTGCTTTCGAATAGCGTCCTCGCTCAGGCGGGGCCTTCCTGGAGGGGTGGGAGGGGCACGAAACCTGGTAAATAACATTGTTTTCGAATGGCGTCCTCGCTCAGGCGGGGCCTCCCTGGAGGGGGGCACGGAAACCGATAAATAACACTGTTTTCGAATAGCGTCCTCGCTCAGGCGGGGCCTCCCTGGAGGGGTGGGAGGGGCACGAAACCTGATAAATAACACTGTTTTCGAATAGCGTCCTCGCTCAGGCGGGGCCTCCCTGGAGGGGTGGGAGGGGCACGAAACCTGATAAATAACACTGTTTTCGAATAGCGTCCTCGCTCAGGCGGGGCCTCCCTGGAGGGGTGGGAGGGGCACGAACCTGATAAATAGCACTGCTTTCGAATAGCGTCCTCGCTCAGGCGGGGCCTCCCTGGAGGGGTGGGAGGGGCACGAAACCTGATACATGACACTGTTTTCGAATAGCGTCCTCGCTCAGGCGGGGCCTCCCTGGAGGGGTGGGAGGGGCACGAAACCTGATAAATGACACTGTTTTCGAATAGCGTCCTCGCTCAGGCGGGGCCTCCCTGGAGGGGTGGGAGGGGCGCATGGTATTGGTATGGTATTGGTATGGTATTGGTATGGTGGGAGGGAGCTCAGACGAAACCTGATAAATAACAGGTGTTGCATGGTATTGGTATGGTATTGGTATTGTATGGTATGGCTTGGTATGGTATTGGTATGGTATTGTATTGGTATGGTATGGCTTGGTATGGTTTGGAATGGTATCGGTATGGTATGGTATTGGTATGGTAGGGCTTGGTATGGTATGGTATTGGTATGGTTTTGGTATGGTATGGCTTGGTATGGCTTGGTATGGTATTGGTGTGGTATGGTATTGGTATGGTATGGCTTGGTATGGTATGGTGATGTGCGGAATGGTATCGTATGGTATGGTTTAGGAGAAGGACGCGGGAGGAGGAGGAGGAGAAGGAGAGGGTGTTCTGGGAAAACAAGAACCCCACTCAGGATGTGGGGAAAAAATCACATCCAAATACATGACTCGTTTTGATTATTGCGATTCGATTCGATTTCGATGGCTCCCGATTCTGATTCGATTCGACCTCGGATCCCGATCTGTGCTCAGATTTTTCACTGGAGGCCTCCTAGACTGCTGATTTTGGCCGACTCGACTTCTTCCGACTCGGCTGCCGATTTCCGCCGATCCGATTCATTTCGATCGCCGATCCGACTTGTCGATGCGATGCAGGGTTCTCGTGCAAATCTATCAAATTGATCAATTGTCAGAGGAGGAATGGACGCCCATGCCACCACCCTTCCCT